CTAACGTGTAGCTTAATGAGATGAGGAAGTAATTAGACACACACTGGAGAAATAATTTTAGTTTTAGTCACAAAATCGCTAGGGAATCACGGAAGATGGTGCGAAACTGAATCAGGTGTAGACTGGATTCTATAGGCACACTGCAGAATAAAAAATGTCAAAAATATTAAGCTGCTACTTAAATCCAATCGTTCCAGTTGCTTATAACTGAGAATTCGATGCTTTCTACACAGCTAGCAGGCAAACACATGTGATTACAGACGCTATACAAAAAACAGAGGAGTTAACAGTTTCATAAGCGTGTAAGTGAATGCTTTATTCGATTTTAACAACGGACTTGAGAATGTGGCCCCGTTAATATCTAACAGCTGTCGTCAATTCCGCCTTCAAATTACATGTCCAGTGTTATAATACATTTTGTCTGGGGGTAATAAAAGTCCACTCAGTCCCAGCAGCCGTATCGCTGTTACCACCGTCCTGAAGCATTCTGGTCCATGCAACAACAGCCCCTTAAACTGACGTCAGGAAAAGACGGCAAAAGCATAGCAAACACGTTCTTAGCGGCGTCAAGTCAGTCAAGTGTAGGAATGCGTGTTTCTTCTTTTCTAGAAGATCCAGCGGGTACGAAGACCAATTTTCTAACCAAAACTGGAAGATCCAGGCCTAGGTGGGAATAGATCTAACATTAAAATGAAACTTAATCGTGTGTGAAGGTATTTGCCTATTGTTCTGGATGGATGTGAAACTTGATTTCTAGCCCTACAGGGAACAAAGAGACTGGAGATGATTGATAAGAAGTGGAGAATATTTGCATCTAGGAGAGAAAGTAATAATTTCTACCTAAAAGAGAAAGTGGACGGAGAAAACTGCATACCAAGAACCTTCATTATTCGTACTATTCACAGTACAGTCCCATTTCAAGATAATCAATCAAGGAAGGTGGGACATGTGACGCTCACTGGAGGGAAAAGAAAATCATTCATAATTTTAATCGGAAAACTTGAAGGAAAAAGACCTTGTGGTAGATCTAGACATAGATCGGAACTAAATATTAACAGATAATTAAGAAACATTGTGTGCATGTGGGCTGGTATCCTTTGGCTCAGGATAGGTTCAGTGGAAAGACCTAGTGAATAAGGCAATGAATCTTCGGGTCCCACAAAAGGCGGGACAATTTACTGCCACGTTAAGTCACTATCAGCTTCTCATGAAGGACAGTACTTCATTGAGTTCGTTTTCTTTAGTAACGGCATGGAATGGATTGAAATTGTTGCGGACAGGGTCCATGGGTCGGCTTCTGTGAACAAGATAATGGATTTTCGGTCCCGTAGACGCTCAGAATTTACTGAGTAGCTAAATAACCATTAACTGTTCAAGAACACTGTACCATGGAGGCAGAATTCATACCCAGTTGCATGGTAAAAAGGATTTCACTCAACAAGATTGAAACCCGACAGTATCTGCAGTTGTTAAAAACTAGCACATCCTAGTGACCACTGCGATCGTCACCCCGACCAACTGACGGTACAAACCGAAGATACTGCACCCCAACAGGCCCCACAGTCTACTTATATATACATTTTCCGGGCACACAGACCTATAAATTTACTCAACAACATGTTTCTGAGATATTATTTCACCCAAAATGTTATTTAAACAATCTTTTGAAAATGTGACTACTTTATGGACTGTTACAACTTGTTTATTGAAAAAAAAATTATTGCAAAACGCGATCACATTATATTAACTTTTCAATGAAAGTTATTTAAATTATCAAATACAACCACCAACTTAAATAATTATAAAATTTCTTTTTGCAACTGAAAGAAAGTAGTGTAACGCCAATCACGTGACAGATATATTCTAAATGCACTGTTGCGACGCTATTCCACTACCTGAAGCCGACATTATTTTTAATTAAATATGTATTTTGTATTATATAGAGCGTTTATGTATGATGACAGCTTTTGAGAAATGGTACTTCACTGAGCTTCATCTCGAAATTTGTGCTATAAACCATAAACCAAAATTCAATTAGTTCGACCGACAACTATCAGTCTAGGCAACCAACAGCATTTTTTAATCTAAATCAGTCTATAATATCGGAGTAACAAACATTCTAGTCTAGGCAACCAACAGCATTTTTAATCTAAATCCGTCTATAATATCGGAGTAACAAACATTCCCATTGTGCGTTCATTTACAGGCTTCATGCAAATAACGCCTAGAAGCAGTTGTTAAGCGTTACAGATACTACAAAATGTCATTGTCTGGTGTATATTAACGTGTAGTGTCTGATTTACATCACTTTCAGTTTGACAGAAATGTCCTGATTAACATTTATATCGGGAAGGTGCTCCTCAAAAGACAAGATAAATACTGGATGGATTTCGGAATACAGATTATGTTAATCTGAAACCACAAACATATTTGTCTGTACACTACTGTGAACACTGCCAACCAACTCACATATCTTTTCTTTGCAGTAATGCGCTTAAGGGAAGGGGGGAGGAGCAGCTGTAGCTATGTGTTAACATAACAATTTGAAAAACACCCTTCACTATAAAACTCAAACAAAAACGAAAGTCCCTTGATATTAATGGAAACATAATCCATTATGCCAGTCTTAAAAATGTACAAAATGCAGAGTGCAGTATTATTCTACAATTAAACATTATCTCATACATATTTAAATTACCTATTCGGGCCAATTTCAAGATCTACGTGAACCTGTAACTTTTTTATTCCTGGCATTTTTAATAAACATGCAAAATATATTGTTAATGTAGCGATAAAATTAAATCGACTATAGAATAAACATCGATACGAACGGTGTAATAAAATATTATAATGAAACAATCCTCTAAAAAATATCCGTGTGTCACCAAAACCGTATTAAGTGGGCGACACATTTAAAAAATATAAACTTAACAATAATGTAATAAAATTCTAACAAATATAGGATCTGAATAAAATAATATTCCTTTATCTAAAATTTTAATATTTTGGGCTCACTCTCTCCTTCCCATTGCGTAGCAGGACAGCCTATCACAGTGGCCTTAAAACCGGGGCACCTGGTTCGAATCCTCCTCATGACCTGCTTGCTACGTGTCAGTGTTTCCTTCTGATTATGCTAAGCTGATGCATGATCTTCATATATATTTATCAAGACTAAATATATGATACACTAGTCAGAAATAACTACACTCTCTTCCGCGTTATCTAAACTCGTAACGTGACTGTGCCTCCGGTCCACGCCGTAATACATCTTATACGATGTTATATACAGAGATTTTAAGATGCCCACGGTAGTCAAGGAGACGGCTGAATGCCAAGTGTGTTTATACAGGAAACTGTGTGGACAATGAAAGCAGAAGAGTTAGAACTGCCGACAGACATGACAATAATAAGAAAACTTCTTACATCCCATGAAACAGAATGACTTTACGTGGTCACAGTATGAAGTACTGATGTCAGACAGACACATCCTACATTACACGTATGCTGTCAGACATTCATACAAGAAAGTAACAACGGAAAAGAGTACACTTACTTCATAAATAAAGCTCCGTTCTTTGCGATTGTACGCACTTAATACGACCCAGTGAAGCTAATGGCAATGTACGGAGTCATAGGCCATAATTCGACTACTATAAAATTTAATATAAAGCCACTGAATACTTTTTGATGAAATACAGACCGACAAAGAAACTTCGGGCAAATGGCATGCTAGAAATGAAGAGAGGACTACTTGGTTGATTATGCACTGAGGCTCAGCATATTTTGATCGACTCTTGGTTCTTTTATCGCTGCTGTTCTAAACTGAAAGGGTTATACTGCGTCGAATTGTAGCACTGCGAATTACGACCTGAAAATCATTAAAAAGGAAGCGGTCATGTGCATTTAATTTTTTTTTCCACCATTTGCCTGGAGGGGCTGTGAAAGACTACAAAAGACACGCCAGGATAACCGGCCTCTGGGACGAAATCCGGAACCTGGACATTCCTAATATGAAACAGGAACGGCCGCGAAGTTGGGTGTCGCATATCGTAGCGTTGGTATGATCTGGGAGGAAAACAGCTGTTAACATGTCACAACTAATAGCAAGCGTTCCGCGATCAGAGCTCAAGTTTGTGTGGCTGCAGTAGGACAACCTAACATTGTGGCCAAAGAGTTAACAGGTCCCGGCTTCAGATCTCAACCCAGAGACCGGCTGTCCTGACTAAGGCTTTTCGTGGGTATCTTCAGCTCCTTCTAGTAACTGCGCGGATAATATCTAAAATTATGCCAAGACTGCTTCCTTTCACATCCATTTCAATTCATTAGTCATTAATCATCCTTCCATTCGATGCAACGCAGTCGTTAAATATAAATAAAACACAGTGGGGAGAGTGGAGAGTGATCTCGTGCGGTGATACCGGAACGTTGCCATATTAATCGCTAAGAGGCCTTGCATCTGTAGATCGGGTAATTAAATCCTGAACATAAATATTCTGGTGTTCCAAAGACCACTATACCATTGGGCGATCAGAGCATCGGTAGTGCAATGTACTTATTTCTTTATGATTTGAGGTTTTCACAGCGGTGAGTATGATGATTTCTGTCTTCTGGGTTGTTGCGCTGTGTAGTCTGGTCGATGTTAACCAACGTTTCAGAGGTCATACTGCCTCCGTCATCAGGGCGATGAGTATGAAGATTTCCGTCTTCTGGGTTGTTGCGCTGTGTAGTCTGGTCGATGTTAACCAACGTTTCAGAGGTCATACTGCCTCCGTCATCAGGGCGATTCTTAGTATGAAGATTTCTGTCTTCTGGGTTGTTGCACTGTGTAGTCTGGTAGATGTTTACCAACGTTTCAGAGGCCATACTGCCTCCGTCATCAGGGCGATTCAACCCAGAAGACAGAAATCTTCATACTTATTTCTGGTTACAACTCTTACAAACCGCGCAGGTACGAACCTCGCCTAGGCCGCACACAGTTTATTTGATTTAAATTCAATTACCTGAAGAGAGAATGGCGGTTCAGATGAATGACCAGACCTGTCACATCAGGTCTACTGCCCACTAGTAACAGCAATACACTTCATCTTGCATGCATACAGCTGATCACGACTCTGTAATTGGCTGATAAGCGTTATGAAACAGCTGGGTCTTGCATGCTGTTACATAACGGCCGCAGATCAATACATGACTTGCTGGCTAAACCCACTTCTTTCGGAATATGAATCCACAGATTATAGTTAATTACAGAACTCGCTCGCGTCTTGGGGTCACGGGTCCACAATCCACTCGGGGAACGAATGTCTGTTCGCAGTTTTCACTCACAGACACGGGCAAAATAGTTATCGTATGCTGGAAAATAGAAAGTGGAAATGTTAACAAGTACTTCGACTCTTCTTACATTTTCTTGTCCTTCTACTTTTTTACTTCCCCTACATCTCCTCATTTGCCACTTGTTATTTTTCTTCTAATTCTCGTTAGTCCTTATCTTCTTTTCCCTCACTTCTGATTCCTTTTCATATTTTTTCCTATCTCTGGTGTATCTCGCAGATAATACCAACATTACCAGTGCAGAGGAGATTTGCTTTTCGTCCAATAGAGAGCTCAAGCTCATGGATGTTAAGATAGGAATGAAAAGATAGTCCTGACCTGTACAACAGTGTGCTCAGAATCTGAAAGGCGTCTCGTCAAAAGATGATCCCCCGATCTAGAGGTAGTATTTTGTGTCAGAAGATCCACCAGCACAGCATTAATCTCTGGTCTTCATAGGACAGCGCATCTAACAATTTAGGAGTCTTCAAATGACAGCGTAACTAACAATTTAGGAGTCTTCATACTGCTGAAGACCAACAAAATGTTAATTTTTATGAACATCTTCACTTTCACAACCCCACCTCGCATATACACAATTCGTTCCACGCCACCAGCCTGTGATTCATATTGATCTTCCACGCACACGTGTAACAGACGCGGAGAGTCATGTGATACTACACAGATACAATATTTTTTAATCCAGACTCATGATATCACGTGAGCAGGTCGTGATTATATGCATTTTATAAGTTGTTATAACATGTCAGCTGACTTTCAAACCAAGAGATCATATTCACCATGTTCAACTCAGGAAAGCAACCTCCTTTTCTAAGAGTGTGTGGAGAAAACGGCTTACGTCTGCCCCTTTTTTAAGAACGAGAATTCCTCGCACATCGGGCTATACATGTATGTGCTTGTCAATTTTAATTTATATCTGCTATTCTCAAGCGTACAATACAGACGGCTGTCTGCTGCACGCATTCGAAATGCGAAAGTCAGCGAAGAAGGGAGTTATGTTCCGTTCTCTGAATGCCAGTGGTCGAGACGGATCCAAGGGAAGTTACGCCACCAATCTCTCAAAAACCAGAAGTAGGACAAATTGAACCCTGGATGGTGGGGGGGGGGCATGTTTCATAGTGTCTGTGTATAAACTAGTACCTTAGAGGGCAGCCCAACCTAAGCCGAAGATGCCTTCATGACTAAGGCTAAATGCGTAACATTGGAAAGTAACTTTAACGTATCTTCCCGAATGCCAAAATGTAACACGTAGTTGTCGCTCTTGCGATTTCCATGCTGTAAATTCTGGATTCGATTTCAAGGCCGTAAGTAGGTAACAACAATCTTCATAATTTTCTTCAGTTCCCGCAGAAAAAATCCTGACGGCGTCTAAAACAGACCGTGGCCATGCACTTCTACGTCCATTCCAATTCATCATGCAGGTCATTCAATCGGTTCTGCACAGATAACTAATTAAATTGAAAAGGCGTCGTTAAATAGGTAAACATTAACAAAATTTGTCTGCTGAGGACGCGAGGGAGTAATGTGTCCGGGCAGAGTTCTCAAATAACTTAAGAGACTGTGACATCAGATAGGTACGTATTAACCCTTTTCATGTGCGCTCGAGAAACAACGATTAGGGTCTGGATCATCAATGAACAAAAGGCGATCCACAATCCACAAGTGAAGATCACGGTTTGTGAATTTCCTACAAGAGAAATAGTGGAACAGGCCTGTTAAAACTAAATGTGAAATAATTTCTCTAGCATTTACATCCCTTGCGCCTGACATCTTTTCCTTTTCGTTTCTTTATTTCAATTACAAATATTTCTAAAATACTCACATAAACGTTTCGGAGATCCGACCTTCCTCCCTCATAAGGATAGTAAGTAATAAAAAGGATCTATCAGCCAGTTCATGCCCATCTGGACTGGAAAATGATTTCTGTCGTTTAGTGCTCGTCTAAGTGTCCAAATTTGACCTTCTCAGCTACTATAAGCTTATCCTGGCACCACGTGGACTTGCTTCATGTTTATAATTTATGAGAAAGTGGCTACCCGTTAATACATTTTGAGGTTTCGTGTGGCCTTTACTTTTTGGGAGATTGTATAAATAGCAGTAGTTTCTGTCACTGTATTCAAAATAGGAACTGGAAGTTCGACATTCAGCAGACTTTTAGGGTTCGAGTTCGTATGGCATCAGATCTTGGGTCTGTCAGGGTTGAGCAGAGTCAACTGAATGCCATGACTAACTTATGAATCGGCGACGAGGGGGCAGCAGATAGGCGGCAGGTGGACGGACGACATTCAGAACAGTGAAAGTGTAAGAGGGAGGGGGAAATTATACAATAAATAACACGGCATATATAGGCCACATAAAAAGTATCGTGGAGAGAGGAACAAGTTCTATGCGTGTTCTGTGTGACCACGTTAAACCCATACTCAGTTGATGTATGGCTATTTGTTTATCTGCTTGCGTGCTGCAACGCATTCTACCGCCCACAAGTGCAAACACAATCTGACTAGGTTACGTAATAATAAATTGGATCGCGAACATAAGGTATACTGCATAGTACGTTAAATCACTCAGTACTTAAATTTTATAGGTACCTGTGTCTTGAAATAAGAACACTTTCTCAAAATCTAAAACTATCTGCCAGTGCTATAATTTAGATATGGAAAAAATAATAATTAAAGGGTACAATACTGTTGTTCTTCTTGATTTATCCATCGTTTGAAACACAAAAACAAGACCAAAAATTATGAATGAAATTTCAGAATTGAATGATGGATGAAGTCTAGAAGAACAACAATACAGAACGCAACACATCGTTAGAACACTTTAGAAAGAAAGGATGCTTTGTTGTTGCTACGACATAATGTAAAATGTAAATACAAACCTAAGTATAAAGAAAGAGTTCGTATTCTAATAGCGCTCTTTATTAGAGCAGCTTTTTTTTCAACTCCGAAAACACCATATTAAACATCTGTGAACGTCTTCTTGGATACCGAAACAATGTCGGACTGTAGACGGTCAGCTAGTGAGGACGAGAAAGGATTATCACAGCATGAAAGGACTAATGGTCGAAATGTAATTATTCATACTACACTTTTCGGTTGTTTTTGTCAGTGCTGAGAAACCATTACTGCGGACAGAAGGAAAGAGAGAAAGAAAAACCCAAATTCATTCTAGCACAGGGATTAGTCTGGCCGAAATACAAATGACATCCGTGGTTGAGATACCATAAGCTTATGACCACGCGGTATACGTTAAAGAGAGTATTTGTTTCAAAAAGAATTTAACAGGCACACTATACTCATATAGGGAGTTAAGGAATGAACAAGTCAAAACAATGACGGCAGAAATATGTTTCTTGAAAGTGGACGCAGAATACGGAGTAACGGATTATAACCGTAATGAAGATTTTTCAGAAATGGGTAACATGGCAATACAGAAAAACCCATAAACACATCTGGGCAGAATTTCTGAAAAACTAATCCCGAATTCTTCCCGTTGGTGTAAGCACAAGTGCAGAACATCCCAGGTACGTCCGGCAAAAATATGTCACAGGTTTAATACATGTATGATTTGAGGTTTTCACATCGGTGAGTATGAAGATTTCTGTCTTCTGGGTGAGCCTTGTAGTATGGTAGATGGTCATACTGCCTCTGTCATCAGGGCGCAAAAATCCAGAAGACAGAAATCTTTAGTTTTAATACATGTAAACGAATCATACTAAGGGCTTAATCCACGATACGGACGAGATATAATTATGTATAAACTAACCATGAGTGTCACATTTTTGCTCGTCTTTCACAGCCTCACGCACTGCCTTAATATTCGGTTGAAGGTACCGTCGTAAACCGTGAAAGCTGGTAAGAAGGATGAGCCTCGGAGTTCGGACAGGAGGCTCTCCGACTGTAAATCAAACTCATTACGATAGAGTCAAATGCGTTATATTAGACTCTGAAGCTCCAAGCACATTATTAACATTGGCAATAGAAGTGAAAATCCTCATTCTAAATGCAGAATGAACCAATTTCCTGAACCTTTAGTGTCAGATATTACAAGCAACGGTGCACTCAGATCAGTCGGCAGAAACTTCCTGATGGATGATGGGATGTTTAAAAATTAAACTCGTATGATCCCAGCGGAATATGAAATTGCATCTCCCAGAATCGACGCTTCCTGCAGCTTCGAGTTAATGACGACAGACGCTTTGTCTATATTCACGAACAGCAAAATTTTATCGGATTAATTCAACATTAACGCCTCTGCAGATCAGCATTACCGTCGGGACTTTTTGTTGCATCAGGTAATATGAATTTTTATGCTTATTTGGATAATCATTCGAGTAACTAATGAATCAGATACTACTCTTTTTTCAATAATACCGCTCTACGCGATTCACCATCGAGTAAGTATTCCAAAATAACCAAATTTGAACGTGGCAGTCTTGCACGTACAGTAAAATGTGTTTCAGAAGTGTTTGAACTTCAACGTTGTGATGAAAAATATATAATGTTACACAGGAACTAGCAAAAGTTGATAGGTCTAAATTCTTCTTCCTTTTAAAATGCCTATCCGTTCCGGATGTTGGCGATCAGCATAGCAATTTGAGCTTTACTGGTTGCTACTTAAAAGAGCCCTCCAGTGGACATGGAGAACCAAGTTTTTAGGTTCTGAAGCCAGGAGATTCTTGGCCTGCCAGGTC